GAGAGAGAGAGAGAGAGAGAGAGAGAGAGAGAGAGAGAGAGAGAGAGAGAGAGAGAGAGAGAAGGGGGGGCACGTGCTAGCTCGTTTCTTCTTTGCCTCTCTCTCTCTTGCCTTCCAGGAAATGTTGCAGGATGTACGCCCGGCATTATGGCTCCCATGTCAACGCTACTCCCGATGTGACAAGTCCCCCACGCGAAGAGCAACTGCCAAGCAGATTGAATGCTGCTGATTGTTTCATCATTCATACAAAAAATGCAAAGCCCCTGCTTCTTAACATCAGTGGCACTCCTTATTGTTGTTGCAGGCGACTTCCAACAACTTCCCCGGGCCAATCATCAATGGCATCATCTGAGCCCACCAAACTGAGACTCGCCCACACGCGCATGCACTTGCGGCACACATAGAGTCAAAACTCGCCAAGTAAGGATGGGGCATACATGCAAGATCGCTTATCACAAACATATTCGGAGAACACAGCAGACAAAAGTCTGAATCGGAATCTTTAGCAGAAACATCAACAGATAAAGAAAAAAAAACGGACAGCGGACAGGATTTTCTCAGAAACGTTCGCAGATCTTGCACAGCACCCAAAAAAAAACGATGCTGCAAAGGTAGCGGCTTCCCAAACAAAACACTCGCAGATAAAGAAAGAAAGAAAAAAAAGGTTCGGTGGTATTCCCTCCTATATCTTGCACGCGGATTTCTGTCTGCTCTCAGGCTCTTCTTTTTGTTATTGTGAAAGAAGCCGCATATGATATGGCAGTTCCTTATGCTTTTTCTTTCTTTTTTTGTGCTTTTTAGTTTTCTATTTTGCGGGCGAAGCCGCAACGGGTCATCTAGTACACACACACACACACACACACACACACACACACACACACACACACACACACATTCAATCTTCTGATGAGCTGGTGAAACTCTGATGGAACAGTCTGGCGCAATGATGCTTTTTTGGTGGAGTTTTGCGTAGCGAGCATCACAACACACTTCACACACGTATGTACGGACACACGTAGACGTGCACGCATACACGCACACACATTCAGTGAAGTCCACCACCTTTCTCAGGGGTACCGCTAACTTCGGGCAAGGTGGTGAGTGCTTATCCATCGGTCGGATGTATCCTGGCCAGACTGTCCAAGTTCAGGGCATAGTTGGACCAGTCACCATCCGCCAAGGTTTTGAATGCATCTGGACATCATTCAAAATGTGGGCGGATGGCGAGTGGTGCAACTAGGCCCTCCCTCTCCTGAAGAGTCCTTGAAAATCGGACGAAACATCTGTCTGAGACCCATTTTTTGTGGAGTCGTGTTTAGCGAATACAAAACACAGCTGCTCCTTTAAGTACGGACAGACAGGTGAGTTTGCCACTTCGGTAGACTCCTGAAGTCCGTGTCTGAATTTGCCCAGTCTTTTTTCTAAGCTTTCCAATGTCCTGCGGCAGTGGAC